ACGTCAGTCTGTTAAAGAGACTGTTGTGATGAATTGCGATATCTAACATCACGTATGTAATAAGCAAACAACAAACTCTTTTACAAAATAAAAAACCAAAAACTATATACAATAGTGACTCTTCAGGATCTGACTGAATGAGCATGTTTCTATGTGTTCTGGGGGCACGGGTGGCCCAGTCGTCTAAGGCGCCGCGATTCGCTGTGCAGAGTTGCGTCCCTTGGGCACGCCAGAAATCTATGATTGTGGGTTCGAATCCCGGTTCGCCCCGATTATGTTTCTAGGTTTGTCAGCACCATACCCGTGCCCGTGGGTTTCACCGAAGTGGTAAACGTCTGAGGTCTGCATCACCTCGGGCTTTCCTCCCACATTAAGCTGACACGCCGCGATATAACTGGAATACTGTTAAAAGCGGTGTTAAACCAAACTCACTCACTCACTCACTCTATGTGTTCCAATAGCAACAGGGCGTACAGTTGGACTACTACGTTATTTTACACAACGTACTAGTGAGAATTCAACAATCTCATGAGAAGGTTGTTCTGAACTGTTCTCGAGTTAAAAGCAAAAGGGTTAATGCATTAAAATATGGCCCTCGTGCCACAATGTTCACTCAAGTTTTAATTAATCGGCGGAAGAGCACATGTTCCGGTTGCAAACATCCCCACACCCCCACACCCAAACATTACCGATGTACATGGTATATAATTATACATTAGAAAACTCCTCAAAACCGCGCTGTACTTGTTGTTGGAGTTAGTTATCGTCTGTGGCTCAGTTACATATGTATAGCGTACAATTTCTAAAGCAAAATGAAACATGATGAAAAACAAATGTTCTTGGATCAGTATAAGGGAAATGAGGATAACTGATTCTCAAAACCACTTCCATGGCTGATCCCAATTCATAACATAAATAGGGGGATTAAGAAAGTTGAGATTTTTAACTACATGGATTTATTGTACGTAAATACCAAAGGCCAGAACAAACAAACTTGGTACATTAATGTTCATAAACTAACAACATTTACAAACATATTTAACTTCAATCATTATAAGTTAGTTTGGTTAGAGAGTTGCACATGTATTATAAATGTATGTTGTGTTGTTTTTGTCATACTGAACTGATCATTCCAAACATACTGTAGATATTGTTTTTCATGCTGTGTTTTGTTTTGGAGTCGTGATAAGGATATACGCCGCGATATTAAATAATCCAGGGATATATCGACAGGATCCGTATATATTATAAGTTTTAGCAGGATCACGAAAAGCTTGTGCTATGTCAAGTGACTTTCATGGGCTCGGAAAGAGCGTGAGGCTTTTTGCCTCGAAGCCGAGTATAAGGGATGCATTCTGCCTTTCAGAAATCCACGCCCAGCCTGTCTTGCTCGTGGCGGGGTATACGGAATTTATTCTGAGAAATGTATATCCCTCCAAGGCAATATACATAGTATTTTATTTATGGAGACACAGTCCGTTTACAGGGTGTTCATTGCCGTGTACCGTATTGACACTTAATAGACTGTTCCCGATTTTGAGTTATTTTGAAATTCATCGTTCTCATTTGGACCAAATGGACTGTATGATAAATTTAGATGCACGAGATCACATGTTTAGCTATGCTTCAACAACCTCCCAACACATTCATGAAAATGTAATTTGAATGTGTTGTTTATTATTCTGATAAAACACAACGAATATTATCCGTTCCTTGTAAACAGCTTAATAGACAATATCTGAAATGTTTCATGCGCTATGAGTGACGGAGTATAGTAACCTGACTCTTGTATCATAGCGCAAAAGGCCAAATATGGACAATCTTGAAAGATGTATTTGCATACGCAAAACATATCACGATACAGGTTGCTAGGCATCACTTCTAAGTGACCAAATATTCGGTAAAGAAGGTATGTCAAGGTGTGGGAAACTACTAGGATGTACTGACGATTGATGTACATAACACATTAATTACAAATAAATACATCATATTTATCGGTCTTATTAGCCGTCTGTCTGATTATAATAACTGGGCGGCAAAAGAAAGTATAGGTCGAGTTCCATGATCGATAAAAAAATAACAAGAAGAGGTTTTGTTGTGAATTATAATATAATCTAGGGAGGGGTAACAAATGATTGATCAACCACAGTCTGAATGAAATTGTCCAATCACAGGTAATGTAAGCTCAAGATAAACAATGGTGGGGTAAGAAATTTCATTTTCAAAAGTTGTCTGAAATGTCACCAAATAATTGTCAGACACACTACAAGTTCATTGTCGACACAGTTGCCTTCAATAGCATGTATGACCTCCAGCTGCCTCAATGCATGCTGTGATACGCCGCCTCATCGATGACGTCAGTCTTCTGATGACGTGGACTGGGTTCGGTTGCCACTCGTCTCTCAGGGCCTGCTGCAATTCTTGTCTGTTGACGGGAGACTGATCGCTTGCTCTAATCTGTCTGTCAAGATGGTCCCACAGAAGTTCAATAGGACTCATATCGGGTGAGTGGGCAGGCCAGGGCAAAACGTCAACGTTCTGCTGGTTTAGAAAGTTCCGAGTCAGTCTTGCAGTATGGGGCCTGGCATTTTCGTGTTGAAACAATGTCCCCTGTTGTTGGTTTTGTAAAAACGGAAGCACAACTGGCTGCAACACTTGGTCCAAGTACCGCACAGCGTTCAGGTTTCCAAATCACCAAATCAGTCTTCTGATCTCCACAAATACCGCCCCACACCATGACACCTCCCCCGCCGAATGGTTGGACCTCTCGAATACACGCCGGAGCCAAACGTTCCCCTCTGCGTCGATAAACTCGTTCTCTGCCGTCATTTCGAAACAAGTTAAACCGACTTTCATCAGTAAACAGCACTCGACGCCAATTTCTTACTTGGCCTTCGAACCCGCCTTGTCCATCGCAGTCTCAGGCGTCGATGTTGAGCAGTCAGTACCATTCCTCGGAAAGGACGATACGCTCGGATTACAGCAGGACGAAGTCGTCGTAGTACTGTACGTTGGCTAATGGGATGTCCCAACGCTGTTACTGCCGTCGCCGTAGCCGTTACGAATCTGTTTCGCAGGTGAATGAGCCGTATCTGACCGTTTTCGAGTGGTGTTGTCACTCGGGGTCGTCCGGTTCTAGGCCTGTCCTGTGTCATCCCTGTCTGGTTGTACCGTTGAAACAGCCTGGCTACTGTCAATGGTGTACAACCAAACCTTCTGGCAATTTGGACCTGTGTTGCCCTCATTTCGGCCATACCGATGACTCTCCCTCTGCTCCTGTGACAGTCGTGGTATTTCTTTTGTGTGCTTTCATCACGTGTGGTTATACCCTGCAGACGAACGCATGTATTCAGCTAACATGCACGTGCAGTTTATACCATAGACGGGAAACCTGTTTCATCATTTGTTTGTCACCGCACGAGCGCCGTCAAAGGTGACGCGTTCGGGTGAGGTGCATTTTGGTACCTGTTCCTGGGCAGTCATATTCCCAATACCCACTTTCCACTAGTTATCGCTGTTAGGAAAATTACGAATTGCCAACCTATACTTTATTTTACAGCTTAGTTTAACTTGTACACTACGTGCAACACATATTTGTACGCACGTCTACTCGCGATATATTAGTTCTCTTTAAAGATTACCATTACAATTGGATTTAAGGATAAGTACATAATTGGTTGCACAATTGGTGTAAGTTTCTGTTTACAGCGATGTAAGATGTGTGGTGAAAGTCACTAGATATACTGACGTTTCTCAAAACTATTAATGTGGCAATGCCAACTTCGAGAAAAGGATACATAATTCTATGGTTAAGTCAAAGTTAGGAGCCAGTCAAAAGTTTGAGATAGCACTGTGTATTTATATCTCGAATTCGAGATAAGTGGGCAAATTTATATGTATTTATATAATGAGGAGGTCGGGACCGGAGAATACATATTGATTCGAGATAAAGGTGTTCGAGATAACGAGGCTCGACTGTATTAATTCTACTGTAATATCACCATGATATTTAACACACAAAGGCCTATATTTAATAGTTGGTTTTCATTAAAATAACGTGGGAATTGAAATATATGTGTCTAATGCAAATGTGTATATACTGACTGAGTATGGTTTTACGCCGCTTTTAGCAATATTCCAGCAATATCACGGCGGGTGACACCAGAAATGGGCTTCACACATTGTACCCATGTCGGGATTCGAGCCCGGGTCTTCGGCGTGACGAGCGAACGCTTTAACCACAAGGCTACCCGACCGCACAAATGCGTATATAATAATCAGCTTTGCAGGTGTAATGCACTTAAGATTGTTATCAACGTTATGTGGCCACACCAGTCGGGACGTTTCTCCATGCATGCTTTTACCCCAGTACATGAACATGTACTTACAACAACTGTGATGTCACCAGCGTCAAAGTGGTATTTATGTAAATACATGTACATTTAGATTTGTACAAGACAAGAGACACAATGTAAGTTAGATATATTAAATTAGATATTCGTGTCAAAAAGAGTTTTTATTTTTAATGACAACATTATTATAGCTTTACAAACTTGTGTTTACATGTGTTGATCATATATTACATTTACCTGCAGTTCATTCACAGTGTAGAATCGTAGTATACATTAATATTAACATTGCCATGGCCCGCTGGTATTTGACGGCGATACAGTCCATAGTCATAAAACAACAAAGTAGTTTTCGCAGAAATCCGCGGATATCCGTTGATTATTCACGAATTATTCGCAATTTTTCGCGATTTGTCCGCGATTTAGTCGCCACTTATCCGCTGATTATTCACAAACTTTTTCATTGTAGTGTAAGATCCTTTTCGTACGACAACATCTCCAAACAAGCAGTCAGATTTATCCCCCATCTGGACGCTCAGGTTATCCCTATGAAATGTTGAGTAGAGTAAATAATATGATATGTTGCTATAAAGGCACTAAAACGTTCTTAAACCTTCACTAAATATATTTTGAAATAAACCCTTTACTTACGTTTAGATTTACCCCTCATTGCAGTTCTTGTTTTATCTTGTGCACGAGGAAACCGACAATCCACGTGTGTTGTCAACAACCTGAATCAATATTATGATATCAAGTTATATCGGAACAGCTGCTATCTGGAAAACTGCCCAAGCAAGGGATTGTTTAAAAAACCGGTGGAAAATCGACGAGAAATGAAGTCGGTAAATGTGAGTATTCTTTTCGTGATCGAAACACACTGCAAACACGAAAGTCTTTTTTTTCGTACATGGTCATTGGACGGAAAAACGACCTTATTTGGACGTTTTCAAACCATCGTTTTTCCGTCCAAATAATCAATTTTATCTTTACAGGATAAAATGGTTACAAGATGTTTCTCTTGAGAAAACCGCTTTGATAGTACGAATCAGGCATTCGAAGACGGATCAGAGAGGGAAAGGTACAATTATGAACATACGAATCGTTCCAGGAAGCAGGATGTGCCCTGTCACCTGCCTTCGTCAGTATCTGGAAGTCCGACCACCAGGTTCAACTTACCTGTTTTGTCATTATGACATTCAGCCAGTCACTAGATACCAGTTTTCAGCTATTGTGTCCAAATGTGTAAGGCTACTGGGTTTAAACCCCACCCTGTATAAATCCCACTCCTTCAGAATCGGGGCGGCTTCCTCTGCAGCAGACAGCGGTGTACCTGCAGAAAAGATACATCAGTGGGGTCGCTGGCAGTCTGCTGCATACGTTTCTTACATTAGAATTTTCTGAGCAGTATATTTATGCTTTCATTCCATTAATGTACTTTCTTACACAGTGGAAGTCATCACTAAACCCTCTTAACTAACAATCATCATGATCAAATGTCATGTACTTTTCATTTTAATGCATTCATGTATATGTTGTTTTCCTAATTACTTCATTTCATTCTAATAATGTTATTACCTGCTTTACCAAGGTGTTTGGCTATTGTATGTTGTATGAAAAAATTGTTCATGCATTAATTAAGTCTTTTTTTTACAGATGTTTGGATTGTAGGCTCATCATTTGTCTATTGGGCTCAGCGGCAGAGTTTCAGATTAAAATTAGGGAGGCATCTCGGCTTACATAAATTGGGGTTCACCTTAAGTTGGTTTGGCAAGAGAGGAATGCACTGGAGAGAGCTCAGACAGCTATTCCTGACCCAGCTTGAAAGGAAACCTCCTCCAAGTGTCATAATTCTCCACTTAGGTTCAAATGATCTGGTAAGCTCCCCTATTAGGAATTTGGTTCGAAGTGTCACAGAGGATGTCACATATTTTGCTCAGATACTTCCTTTCACAGTCTTTGTATGTTCTGAGTTACTGCCACGACAGTATTGGCACATGGCCGCAAATTACAAATCGGTGGAGGAAGCCAGGAAGCGCTTGAATAGAGCAGGCATGAGTGCAGTTCTAAGGGTTGGAGGGCGAGCCATAAAGCATGGTATTCGGGCACAGGATTTGGGGATGTACAGGCATTATGGTGTCCATCTTTCAGATGTAGGGCTTTCCATATTTGTCAATACCTATCAGGAGGGTTTGGAGTACTTCCTTCTGGATGACCGGTGTTTACTGGCAATTAATATGAAGTTCTTTTTCTGCGCTAAGTATTGGAGGGTCTGTGTATAGACACAGTCCTGTGGCTTAATACTTGCGGGTTGGGCATAGTAATTTCCGGAGGCCTTCGATGAGCGCTACCCGCGAGGGCCTAGCTTGCTAAATGACACGCTGGTTGACCTCCTTTGGTGTACCCTGGGGGGATCAAAGTCATTTCGCCTTTTGATGAGTTGTTATGTGTTTATCCTCTCGAGTCGCGCTTTTCTGTTTGTCCTATTGCCTTCGGGCCGGCATTCAGTAATTTTGGTTCGCCCAACCTGCAGGGTTATGCAAAATATCATCCCCCTGTAATTTCATGAATAAAGCCGTGGCCATACTCCACACTTCACTTTACATAATCCTTTGGTTATTTATTCATCTAGTATGCTCTAGATTGGCATTATCTTGAAATAACGTCATTATTTGACATCGGAATATACTGTGAGAGGACGATATCACCAAAGCTCCTCCCTGTCTTGATTGACCATGTCTATCAAGCAACAGCGTCTACCGGTATTTCTACTTCTCAGATTTCATTGGTCAGTTCTCGCGTGTTAGATGACAGGGTCGAGTTTGACGTTGTACTCGAAGCGCTTAGCGGAAGTACTGAAATCAATCGTTCTGCGCATGCGGATTTCTAAATGCCTTGCTCAAATTTTCCGTTCTGTGCATGCGCGATTTCGCGTATTGTTTCCTAGGTTTGATGTCACCACTATTTGACAATGATTCATAAACACAGTCTCGTGATAAGTTCGGAATGGTACAATGTCGCTTAAATTTATGGCACGCACTTGATCGGCACGCATTTCCCATTAACTCATACAGTGATAACGGTAATAATTTTAGTCCAAATAATTAGGAAAGCGTAAGGCTGAGGAGTATAGGAAAAGGATTAATTTTATACTTTCGCAAGTTATATAATCGTCAAATACGCAAACGAATGTCAACCGGCTTTTAAAACTAAATTTTGTAGAAGGTGATCTTGGTGTATATTGTCAGATATTGTATGCATATACATTTTTCCGATATTGCTTATTTTAATGTTTATTAATAGTTTTAAGGTTCGTCCGCCTAATTGATTGGATTCCACTTTCTCATTTGTACATGACACTTAAGCAGTGTCCTGTTACTGTAAACAGATTAGTTTCAAATTCCAAACTGCTAAGGTCTATTCACACTAGAGCTTATAATTAGTCTCTAAAACTATATAGTTTTGAAAGAAACAACTCCATTTAAATAGACCGATCCAGTCTGTCAATCAAAATTGGCGCATGTGTCAGTTTGAGCCAATCAGAAGGCCAGGCGCGCTTTGCGGATTTGTCATATTTACTTCCGGGGTCAAACCATACCCGAGAAGCGACGTGGCTATGGTTTGTGTTACTTTCACTTGCGATATTCATTAGGTATCGCTGGGATTAGATGTATACCTTTACCCAAACACACAGGGTCGGGAGAAAAGTGTTTGTGGCTGATCAAGATGTGCGGTAGGCCTCACCACCAGTTAAATGTCGCCACCATCTTCCACGGGACCCACGTCTGCTCGAAGGTGAGAATTTGCACGATTTTTCGCATTTTTGCACATATGCATACTCGATACGTGTAAATGACAACACGTAGCAAGTTATGATTTTACGCATGTTATAAATAAGCATAATGCTTGTAACTACAAAATCGTTTTTGAATTATGTATTTTGGCAACATCGGGCATTGACTTAGCAGGTGACACAGTGTAAACAAATATGACAGTGATCTGATTTCGGTTAGTGCAGAACGAATTCTACTATTAATTACATTGAAGTACAATTTAGTGGAAATTGTATTCCTCTCTCTTAGATATGATATATTTTGTTACAGATTTTTAGATATGATTTAGTTTCAAAATCACAATAAGCCTATCTATTAATATTGCAAATTACTCGAGCATAACATTGCAAATTACTCGAGCAGTAATGAATCTTTAGACATAGAGATATAATCATTGTAAATGGGTTTCGTTCCACAAAATCTTTCAATTTAATTCATAAGGGTCCTCATTTAATCATGATTTGACTATTTCAGTATTTCTATGAAGAGACAGGGCCTATGCAGTAATGAATTACCTGAGAAAATTATTGGTTTAGAATTGTTTGCAACATAAGTTATTCACTGGTAGTGGAAGCTTACTGATATACATGTTTGTGAATATAATAATTATTCCAAACAGTTATTTAATTGGAACGTCGCTATATAAGTGCAATAATCTTGGACGCGACGTTAAACCCAATTTCACCTCACCTTATTTAATTGGTGCCGTATAAAAGTAAGATTAATATGATTTATTTGCACTAACAACACTAAATGTTTGATGGTAGAACATCCACCTAGTATAAAACTCAGTTTGTTGGCTCTTTCTTTTGGACATGATATCATTTAAAAACATCTTTTTAAATAACATATTTTTAAAAAAAGATAGTGTTGAAAGTGATTACCTGTATCATAACGCAAGATACTTATTTCAAGATACAAAGAATTTGTAAAAACAAAGGCAGAATCTCTCTGCCACTCCTTGATCAGCCATTATCCAGAGTGCCTGATCAATTCTGATATAGAATAAATTATATTATTCTTAATACATTTCATATATACTCAACAACAAAAGTTCCTGTGACACCAATATTTTAATTTTTTGTTCAAACAAGTAAAGTTTGGTTTTCAATATTGTAGTCAAGTCACAAAAACGCAACTGCTACAGAAAAACATGTATTCCAAGCAAAAGTTGTCTTTATGCAAGCCCCATGCATTTCACTACCCCAAAATGGGTATGAAAACATGTGCGTTAACGGGATTCCATATAACGCCTGTCCGAAAACGAGCGTCTGCGAGCCATTGGTACGCTTGAAGCAGGATGGCGTCAACGTGATGTTGCAAGACAATTCAACGTCCACAGACACACCATTTGGTGTTTATGGCAAGGTTGGCAACAGACGAATGCAGTCAGAGATCATCCTCGGAGTGGCAGGCCACGCGTAACCAATAATCGACAAGACAACTGGGTTCGAAGACCCACCAGACATCCCATTTTGACAGGAAACCACCGTCAAACACGTCTACAATGGTGCAGACAGCGTCTACGCTGGACGGCCATGCAGTGGGGACAAGTTCTATTCACTGACGAGTCTCGTTTTCACCTCAGCCACAGCGATGGACGGATTCGAGTGTACCGACGTCGAGGTGAACGTTACGTCAATCATTGTGTCATGAAAGGAGATCGGTTTGGGGGCGGCAGCGTTATGGTATGGGGTGGGATTACAGCAAGACAGAGGACCCGACGCAAAAAGATTGGGGAAAAAACTGATAACGTATAATTTCCTTACAGGGGAAATAATTTACTGCTTTAATTTTATCAACTATTCATTTATGTTTATTCATTAGAAAACCCGCTGACTCTATGCCTTTCAAGTTATATTGTTTTTACTTAGAGCACCAGAAAACGTGGCAAGGTAACTGTTGACAATTTATTTATATACTGAACAACAAAAGTTCCTGTGACATTGAATAAAATTTAATGCAAAATTATGTTTTTTACCAAATCTGAAACCATATCGGTTTGCAACAGATAAAAGATTCCTGTAAGTGTTCAAATTGTTTAATTTGCCATACTGACTTCAGTAAATGCGTGATTATATAAAACAACATGAACATGCCAAAATGTCAATTTACATACTATACATAACGTTAAAATCATTTTAAAATAATGTAAAACAATAAACAATGCAATGTGTATTATGGTACGTAGCAGCAATACATTTGATGCGCTTAGGATTAGGTGGCTCCCATCTGTACCATACCCAAGGCTCGTTCAGGTTGTTCGACTGTGAGTCGTGGCATTTTTATTTTATTTTTATCACTGTGGATGTCTGACTTGCCGTTGCAATCGTTTTTTGCCCTTACCCGCACGTGCATTTGCAGTTGTCCGTGGTGCACGTGTTTTTCACTTTTTCGCGTGTCATCTCGCAAACATGTAACAGACGATTTACATTTTCTGCATATACTATTGTTGTATTTAGGTTATGTACATTTGTTTTAGATAGACATCATCGAAAAAAAAATTATACTTTGTCTGAAATTTATATTTTCAGTTGGTAAAGTTTCTTATGGACGTCAGTTTATATACCTTAGTAAGATTTGTTTCTCTTTACTTTGATCAACGAACAGCTTTCACAATGTTAGCAGTATCACCTCATTTCCAATTTAGGAATAGGTATATATGTTAGTTTTTAAGTTTGTGCCTCAGTCTGAAAATGGCACATCTTTAAAGAGCTGAGTTCGTTACTTCACAGAGAGGCGGTCAGCAAGTACTACATGCTGGTTACCGGTACAAGTTGAATGTCAAGCGGCAACTTGCTGTTCACTGGAAGTGTATCACCATTAGCTGCAATGGCAGATGCAGCACCATTGGCGACCACATTACATCAACCAAGCCTCACAGTCATCCACCTACCGAGAATGTAGAAAACATCCGCATCATCACCAGAATGAAGGAGCAAGTGAAGACAGACATCACCCCTTGATGTTGTGAAAACATTTGAGTTGTAAAGATAAATGTACAGTGCTATGTACAAGCATATTCATCTATTACCTTGAGTTTTTTATTTTATAAGTGATATCACATACTGAGTTGAGCCTGGCATAAATATCAAGTCTTGGATATCCATCTGCTTGCTTATTTTAATGGCAGAGTAAAAAAAACGATTTTTTTCATCTTTTTGCAGTACTCTAAAACTGTGTGGCAGTCGCGGCGCGTTAGACGACTTGGCCACCCGTGTCCCCCTCTGGATTTAGAATTCCATGATTTGGTATTGGCTGATAGAAGTTCGATTTTATGATATCATTTGCTTGTTTTTACAAACTTGATTTCAACTGTTAATCTTCCTTCTATGAAATCATAATGCAAGTTATGCACTATCGGGCCATTGTTTCATTTTGGTGTCAAGTTAGTATTTGCCACGGTGTCAGTGTAACAAGCAGATGCGGATTCATGTTTCAAACTGATGATGAATATCTAAAGTCACGTCAGGCTCTCGTCGCAGTCTCGTTCTCTTCACGTCAGGACCGCCACGGTGGTCTAGTAGAGCGTCCGCCCGGAGAGCGGAGATCCGGGGTTCGATGCCTGGCCGCGTCATACCAAAAGATGTTAAAAGATGGTACTTGTTATCCTGTCTGGCGCTCGGCATTAAGGGGCTAAAACAAGAACTGGTCGGCTCGGAGTCAGTATACTGTCTCTGAGTGGGATATTCATGTTAAACTGCGGTATGGTATCTCGGTGTGCTAGCACTATAAATCGGCATCAGTCCGCACTAGTACAAGCAGCCACACACACACACGTACATGCACGTCACTACATACGTGCAATAATCTTTGACGCGACGTTAAACCCCATTTTACCTCACCTCACGTCTTCACGTCAGCAGGCGCAACGCCATATATATGTACATGTAGGACCATTAAGCAAAGACTGTTAGTTTGGTGTCAGACACTCTCAATAACGGTGATGATCATGACTCCAGTAACGGCAGGGCAACAATAGCACGTTAGCTGTCCCTCGTCATTGTTCATCAGTGGATTATTTCCGAATGGAATGGGGGAGCCACTCGATGACCAATATCAGCTAAAAAATGGACGACGTTTACAGTTAGTTAGTTAGTTAGTTGAGGTCTTCAGCAACCCATGCTTGCCTCAAAAGGCGACTATGCTTGTCGTAAGAGGCGACTAACGGGATCGGGTGGTCAGGCTCGCTGACTTGGTTGATGCATGTCATCGATCCCAATTGCGTGGATCGATGCTCATGATGTCAATCACTGGATTGTCTGGTCCAGGCTTGATTATTTACAGACCGCCGTCATATAGCTGGAATATTGCTGAGTGCGGCGTTAAACGAACCAACGAACAAACGAACGAACGAACAAATTTTATTATGATAAACGTGTACATGTATGCTATATGTTGCGTCTCTATGGAATGATGGGTTAATTTCATTTACTTCATCAACAGTTACTTTTCTATTAAAAATGTAGTAAAACCGCGCATGTAATATTAATGTTATTTCCCTCCATTTTTCAATGATGATTTATTTGTGTGAATAAGTTATATATGCAATGACAATGGTAAAAGGGCAAACTATCTATCCGTGGTAAACATTTACATTTTTCTCAGCATCCCCTCTGATACCTTGAAGCTGAAGATATGTGCGTTTCGTAAACGTACCTGGGATTTAAATTCCCTTTTGACCTTTTTTACGCTTTCGCCATCTTGGATCGCGTCCAAGATTATTGCACTTATATAGCAATGTGCATGCACGTGTGTGTGAGTCTGCTTGCGCTTAGTCCGGACTAATGCCGAGTTTATAGTGCTAGCCCACTGACATACATTGCCGCAGTTTAACATTAATACCCTACTCAGACACAGTACACAGACTCCGAGCCGACCAGTCCTTGTTTTAGCCCCTTAATGCCGAGCGCCAGACAGGGTAAGAACAAGTACTATATTTTGGTATGACGCGGCCGGGAATCGAATCCCTGACATTTCGCTCTCCGGGCGGATGCTCCACCACTAGACCGCGGAGGCGGCCCGGTACATATATAGGTCTCCTTTGACCATTAATCATTATACTGGATCACAAAGGGTCCTCAGCTCCTCGTAAGGAGGATAATTTGCAAGTTTACAGATGCATATTTTTATTATAAAAAACCCACCAACAGTGGTACATAGGCAATTATGTGCAATGTTAAAATATATACGTACACAGTCGAGGTGACACTTATTATCTAATGTTTAGTTTGGTTCAATAATTGTAAAGCAAACTGACAGTTGTTTTTTCAGATAATTCAGATTAGGACATTAAATATTTCTTTAGAGCGGGTATATTCGATAATTCGTGATATTTATTTGGTATATTCAGTTATTGATGTCTTTGGTATCAAATAGCATATGCATACACTCACTCACATCCCAAAACATCAAAACGTAACTAAGCACATATTTGTAGAAGCAACATAAATTAATGTACTATTTTCTAAACAGGAACTATTTGAACAATCAAACTGTCTGTTTGGATAAAACTATAGCTCTAAGCATCAGATTTCCTTATCATTTTAACATTCTAAACAGCAAAGTTGATCAAATAAGAACTTAATGTAATAAAACAACTGTATCAATTAAAAGCATATAATCATGATTAGCATTCGCGATTTAATTGCTTTAAATTATGTCATAGCCTCTGCTTCAAGGCTGAACTGACTGACGTGTCCATGGATGTATAGCAATTCAAGTCTTTTATGGGGACATTTGTTTGTATTATTATATCATCCAGGCATTATGATTTAAACCATCTGTTGCCCAAAGAACTGTCCAAACTCTCTCATACCGACATGTCTACCACGTGTCCCCCAAACACTGCCATTTTGACAACACGCATGCTTCCAAACTCTCTCATACTCTCATGTCTGCCACGTGTCCCCCAAACACTGCCAGTTTGACACACACATGCTTCCAAACTCTCTCAAACTCTCATGTCTGCCACGTGTCCCCCAAACACTGCCATTTTGACAGCACACATGCTTTGAAGGTTTTGAGCAATAACATACTTTAAGGGGTCCATTCAGTTATCTCATAACCACTAGTTCTTTTGAGTGAGTAAAATTATTTCAGTTATATCACGGCGTGTCAGCTTAATGTGGGAGGAATGCCCGAAGTGTTGCAGGTCTCAGACGTTTACCACTTCGGTGAAACCCACGAGCACGGGTATGGTGCTGACAAACCTAGAAACATAACCGGGGCGAACCGGGATTTAAACCCATAATCCTAGGTTCCTGGCGTGCCCAAGGACGCCACTCTGCACAGCGAATCGCGCCCTAGACGACTGGGCCACCCGTGCCCTAGTTTTGTCAAGAATATCCGGCTTGGTCCAAGACTTCAAAATAATTACTAACATCGTTTTTTCTAACGTCCGTATGTTTTCTGGAGGAAACAAACGTGTCTTCATAACCCCTGAACAACTTGGCGAGAATAATGTTGATAGCCGATTGCTCAAATCTGTGACATTTGCCGTAGTGACGCACCCTGGCGTCACATCCTAAACTCCATAATGGGAAATTGGTTGGACACATACAGCTTCCATCCATCGCACAGGCCGCCCATGGTTTCACAATAGCCTCGCGTACAAACATCTCATTTTTGAAGAGAAGTAAACCGGTTTGTTTTTCTGTCACATGGGCAAAGTTGCATGCATCCTCGTCGAAGTAATCAAACATTGTCTGATAGGTATGTTGTGCGACGGAATGGGCTCCATACAGAGTCATCACTCCTTTTGTCTCTAATTCTTGGAGCATTTCCTGTATCACAGACTTTTGGAATCGGATTGACGAATCGACCCAAATCAGTATATCACTTGTTGGGAGGTTAGCCTGAAATATAATTGAAGCAACACGTGAGTTAATGTTGAATAACGCCTTAGTCAGCAATATATTAACCAATCGCGACGGCCTGTAAAGGGCTGCCTATATGATATTCTCGGAGGGGCCTGGAATGTTTAGAAAAAAAAGATAATTTGTTCCGGAAAATACTGGAAATGAATATTGTTCACTTGATGACCTGAAAGAAATGTGTTGGTGATGTTGTAAAGAAATTGTTTGGCTTCTTTAAAATGAAACAATTAGATGTCTTGAATTGAGCAGTGTGATCAACACATAACATTTTCGGTCCTTAAATACTCGAGTCTAGGTGAGGTGAAATGGGGTTAAACGTCGCGTTCAAGATAATTGCACTTATATAGTAACGTGCAATCACGTGTATGTGGTTGCTGGTACTAGTCCCAACTTACACAGGGTTTATAGTGCAAACCAAGATACTATGTCGCAATTTACATGAATAACCCATTCCAGTCCTTGTTTTATCCTCTTAATACTGGGGGCGGTCGGGTAGCCTAGTGGTTAAAGCGTTCGCTCGTCACGCCGAAGACCCGGGTTCGATTCCCGACGTGGGTACAAGGTGTGAAGCCCATTTCTGGTGTCCCCCGCCGTGATATTGCTGGAATATTGCTATAAGCGGCGTGAAACCATACTCACTCACTCTTGATACCGAACGTCATTGGAATGACGCAACCGGGCTCGAACCACCGACCTTACGCTCTCCGGGCAGACGCTATATCCATTAGACCAAAGAGGCGGTCTAGTCGCCTCTAGCGACCAACCTCCGAGTTCCAGAGACATAACCAGGTTGGCCAACAGTCTCAAATATTGGGTCGTTAACTGACAAATCGCAAGGACAGAGTGTCATAGTCACCTGCACCAAAAACGCCTTCCACGTATAACAGAGAAGATTCTGCAGTCGCCATGGCAATAGATGGAAGGGAAAGGTCCGAACCTCGCACTTACAATGGGCCACAAACTGAAAAATAAAAAAAACACACAAAAAAACCGCATGTCAATATTTTTTAAGAAAAGACATTTATCACAGAAGTGTGGGCTACCCACAGCGTTTCCAATTGAAGGGTCGAAACTCGGTGTTCAGCGTGACAAGCATTTAAGCTGACGCTTTAACCATAAGGCGAAGCCACAGCCTCTGGTGTCCATAGTAAACGAAGGGAGTAATGCTTTGTTTTGTTTGTTTGTTGTTTAACGCCGCACTCAGCAATATTCCAGCTACATGACGGCGGTCGATAAATAATCGAGTCTGGACCAGACAAGCCAGTGATTGACATTATGAGCATCGATCCATGCAATTGGGATACGATGACATGCATCAAACAAGTCGCGAGCCTGACCACCCGATCCCGTTAGTCGGCTCTTACGACAAGCCTATTCTATCCCGGATCTTCAGTAAGTAATGCAAGAATATAGTAGTATAAGTTTGTGTTCTTTATTTGTTTATTTGTTGACAACGCACACAGCAATATTCCAGCTATATGACGGTCTGTAAATAATTGAGTGTGGACCAGACAATCCAGTGACTGACATCAAGGGCATCGATCTAAATAATTGGAATACGATGACATATGTAAACTAAATTTTAACGACTAGTAGTAGTTGTAGGTGTTATATAGTGGGGTGGGGTAGCATAGTGGTAAAAGCGTGTGCTCGTCACGCCGAAAACACGGGTTCGATTGCCTACATGAGTACAATGTGTGTAGCCTATTTCTGGTGTTCCCCGCTGTGATATTGCTGAAATATTGCCAAACGCAACGCACAACCACTCATTTTCTGTCAATGTGAGAATTGAGGACTGAGAAAATTCCTTCCTGGAATTCCCACAGGGAGTTACTGTAATGGAGTACTCAAGAAAACAAACCTCTCTTCTCTCATTGTCACTCAGACCAAGGTCATAGAAGACGAATGTGTAGTTGTTGACATAAGGAAACACATGGTTGTGCAAGTTCTCCACCAGACCTTGATTCTCGCTGAAGTGATCGGACGAAGCAGCGGAGAGGAACAGTACTCGTTTACCAGTCTTCCGGGCACCGAACAGATCAAAAAGCAGGGCGAACACCTCAGGGTCGGTGTTCCTCATGGAGAACAGAAGGCCATGAAGGTTCTGTTCCGGAGTTGCAACTGGGGAAGAACACTTCCGATCCACGCATTCTCTGTCTGTGTGAAGAAAGACGTGATTTTGTACGCCTGAGACTCGTTTCCAAGTGATAGGGTTATTTTATAACGGTGGTTTAAATAAATTACTGTGAAACCTCGTTAATTCCGCCTGTATTATTTCTAAAGAAATCGTCCGGTTAATCAGATTTTCTTATTATCAAATCCTGGTTCAGTAAAGGTCCCTGCAATCGTTGTTGTTGGTTGTTTAACGCCGCACTCAGCAATATTCCAGCTGTATGACGCCAGTCTGTAAACAGGACCAGACAAGGCAATCCGGTGATTCACATCATGATCATCGATGCACACAATTGGGATACGATGACATTCATCAACAAAGACAGCAGGCCTGACCACCCGATCCCGTTAGACACCTCTTACGACAACCATAGACGCCTTTTACGGCAAGCATGAGTTGCTGAGGACCTATTCTGACCCAGATCTTCTCGGGTTAGGTCCCTTCAATCACGTATTGCCCGGAAAGGAGGAGTTTCCAGATTAACAAGGTCCGGACTCAAGAGATTCCAGTGTGATAGAAAGTATACTATTGATCTAACTTTTAATTATCCTATCGTAAACGGTTAGCAAACTATGGACATAAAGAGTGCTGTGGATCTGAACTCATTTCACAATAAATCAATCATGACCGAAAAGAAATTTGGTTCCAATGGTCCTCGGTGGTCTTTATTGCAAATACACGTTGTCCTGTGTACTGCACACATGTCACAAATCAGGCGAGTAGGTGGATGGGTACCCGGTAGAATGAGATGGTAATGTGACCGTAAACCGCCTCATTCGGCAGCTTGGGTTGTATGATCCCCAGGGGGTAATAAAAGGATCGAGCCACTCCATCATGTCGCTTAAGACACTGTGGTTGTGCCAAAGCTTGGCATCCACTGACAATGTGTTGGACAGTATCATTAAATTCATTGCATAATCGACATTTCATATTTACATTTTGATGCAAAACCACACATTGACGGTTTCGAGTGGGAAGTGACTGGTCTTGAGAAGCGAACAGAAGGCCTTCTGTTTCACTTTTCAGGACAGCCGACTTCATCCAAACGAAGGACTCTGCAGGGTTGCCGATCTTCTCAACACACTGCACTATATCGATTCAGTGGTCGTTCAGATAGCCACTCCCAGAAAAAATTGTATTATTGTTGTTGTTGTTACATACCTGCAACTTTCTCCTTGCTGCAGGGTTGGAAGTTTTTGTTCGCTTTCCAGTAACCAGCGGATCGGACTTCTGACAACATCAACAATGTGTGATCATTTCTTAGTCCATTTGTCAATGGGGTCAGTTATTTATGAATAGCTTACCCAATATACCTGAGCATACGTGACTACGAGTTCCTAAGAGCTTTTCCAAACGCGTTATACGTTAGCGACTGTACTGGACGTGATGCACAAAACGTAGCTGAAACCATCTCCCCGAGGCAAGTGAGTTAACAGACTTTAAAAGTCCAGTTTCCACCCTTGCCGTACTAGGTTGGTATTATGGAGTTACATTTTGGCTTGACAAACGAGTCTATGCATAGTCCAATCAAAATCGCGCACCGAAATTGAAATCCGGTTCGTAAAGTGTCATGCAGATTTCAGTCGACTGCAGGATTTGCAAAGCATGTGCACCGCTAACTCGTTGTCAACAGATATTTTCTAAATCTTTTCATGCTTTTAATCAAGGTGCTCGCGTGATTTGATGCACTTCGCGATGTAAGACGATCACAATATAGATCTTGATTATCACTCAGATCGTCTTGACTGGGAATCACCGTTTTCTTTGAAGCAAATGCAAGTGATACGAAAGGTTGAATCTGATTTGTCAATAGGAGAGGCATAGAAAGGTCATAACTCGTAATAGTCACAGGTGTCGCTACGATCGAGCCCAGGAATTCCAGCCTAGTTCGGCAAGGGTGAAAACTGGACTTTTAAAGTCAGTTACCTCTCTTGCCTCGGGAATCATACGCTATCTATCACAATGAGGTTGTTTATCTCAAGCAAAAAAATTTTTGGAAAGCGCATTTTGCAGGTTTTGTCATTGCTGTAAAGAATAGTTCTTATCGGCGGAATGGCTTGTTTTCACTTTATAAGTATCAACATACGTTTATATATTTTTTATATATAATATTTTTTATACAGTTTCCTGTGTACCTTAAATTAAAACCCTCAACATGTTCAATATAATTTAACAAAATAAATTTTGTACATGAATGTCCAGTGATAGTGAAAACATTAACGTGTGAAACAAAATATAACTGTCAGTGAGAGAGTAAATATTGCTTAAAGCCACAGCATTATTGCAGCTATTCGCGGTGACACCATCAGTCATAGAAATTATCACAGGCCAGTGGTTTTCTCCACGAGGCAATATTATACCAGCTAGCATATTCATCAAAACAAAATTCTCAAAGACCAATTTGCAGCATTCGGCTAAAATAAGATTGTCCGATGTTTTTACACGACACCATAGTCGCTACTTTAGGCCATACAAATTTAATTATTCCCTGGCTTGTCAGCTTGAAATGGGACGAAACCAACCACTTAATGACTGTATAGGTAATTGGCCAAGCGTCGCAATCTCGCGTTCTCGCGTTTTTTTAAAAATATTTACATATAACTGTATAGGCAATTGACACGAAAACACGAGAACGCGAGATCCCGACTTTGGTCAAGTGTTGCAATCTCGCGTTCTCGCGTTTTTTGAAAATATTTACATATAACTGTATAGGCAATTGACACGAAAACACGAGAACGCGAGATCTCGACATTGGTCATGTGTTGCAATTTCGCCTTCTCGCGTTTTTTTCAATGGTGACATATGACGGTTTGAGTGGAACAGCGCTAGCCAATCAGAATTCGCGTAGGAATTGTGATATTATAATAAACATTTTCCCGCAATAAATTCTGAAAATGTCGAATCGTGTACATGTATTGTTACTTGCACACCGGATATGTTAACGTTGGTTTGTTTGTTGGTTTGCTGTTTAACGCCGCATTCAGCAATATTCCAGCTATATGACGGCGGTCTGTAAATAATCGAGTCTGGACCAGACAATCCAGTGATTAATATCATGAACATTTACCTGCTATTTTTCTCTTATATTCCTCCAAGAGATCGTGAAAAGGAACCTGTTCGAGATGAACTGAAACAAAGGATATTGTAAAGAATGTGTGTCTGGGTCAGTGATTACATTGGTATTCTTTCAAATTGCACTTGTCAAAACCCCAGCAATATCACGGCGGGGGAGTGAAAGAGTGTTGATTAACGCTGTATTTGTCAATATTCCAGCAATATCACGGTGAGTGGGTGAATGTGAGTGTGGATTATTGCTGTATTTGTCAATATTCCAGCAATATCACGGCGGGGGAGTGAAAGAGTGTAGATTAATGCTATATTTCTCAATATGCCAGCAACATCACGGCGGGTGAGTGAATGAGTGTGGATTATTGCTGTATTTGTCAATATTCCAGCAATATCACGGCGGATGAGTGAATGTGAGTGTGGATTACTGCTGTATTTTTCAATATCCCAGCAATATCACGGCGGGTGAGTGAATGAGTGAGTGTGGATTAATGCTGTATTTGTCAATATTCCAGCAATATCACGGCGGGTGAGTGAATGAGTGAGTGTGGATTAACGCTGTATTTGTCAATATCCCAGCAATATCACGGTGGATGAGTGAATGTGAGTGTGGATTATTGCTGTATTTTTCAATATTCCAGCAATATCACGGTGGGTGAGTGAATGACTGAGTGTGGATTAATGCTGTATTTGTCAATATCCCAGCAATATCACGGCGGATGGGTGAATGAGTGAGTGTGGATTAACACTGTATTTGTCAATATTCCAGCAATATCACGGCGGATGGGTGAATGAGTGAGTGTGGATTAACGCTGTATTTGTCAATATCCCAGCAATATCACGGCGGGTGAGTGAATGAGTGAGTGTGGATTAACACTGTATTTGTATATTCCAGCAATATCACGGCGGATGAGTGAATGAGTGTGGATTAATGCTGTATTTGCCAATATGCCAGCAATATCACGGCGGGGGAGTGAGTATCTTTGTTTTTGCATTAAACAATTTCACTGTGATAGGGGACGCCAAGAACAGGTTTCCCACAATTCCCTGTTGGACTGACTGTTTGTTGTTTAACGCCGCACTAGGATACGATGACATGCATCAACCAAGTGAGCGAGCCTGACCAGCCGATCTCCTGTAGAAGCCAGTATGGGATGATAAATAACGCCACCATATCGAAATAGAAGTAGCACAGCCAAAACAATATGTTATAGTGAGTGAGTATGGTTTTACGCCGCTTTTAGCAATATTCCAGCAATATCACGGCGGGGGACACCTGAAATGGGCTTCACACATTGTACCCATGTCGGGAATCGAACCCGGGTCTTCGGCGTGACGAGCGAACGCTTTAACCACTAGGCTACCCGACCGCCCTTCAATATGTTATAGAAAAGGATAATGCAACCAACGATAAGAAAGATTTAAATAGAAAGACAAAGGAGCAATTGTAGAAGAAGGTGGTGTATAAAAGGCGAACACAAAATAATAAACAAACGAATGATGACCGATACCGCTAAACAAAGATCTGAGGAAATCCCATTACGGGTCACGTCAGAACGACCTTTCGCGAATTTTGACCGACCAATGAAACGACTACCAATAAGTCAACATCAGCCAATTAGAAAGCAGCTTATTTTAGCTTCACGGCACTCGTTTCAACCTGGTAACGTCCATTACAAACTACGCTTGAAAAATATGTTGACACAGTGCTCGATTACAATTTTGAAAACTGAACAAACGAACAATCCGGAATGACTAACATACGGAAGAGATTGTATAGTAGTGCTTCCCACGTGCTGTGCAACGCCTCCTCCGTTCAAATGTTTATCCCACGGAAGCGAGAGATAGACGATACTTTGACGGAATCGACGGGCCGACGTACGGAATACCCTGTATTAACGTTTTCGAGGTTGCATGATTAGAAAACACATTCCGACTGTCGCTATTATGATCTGGTAAGCGGCGCTTTGATTGGTCGGATGGAAGGTCGTCCTGACGTGACCCGTAATGGGGTGTCCTCAGATCTTGGTTTAGCGATAGCGAGAACTAAGACCTTATTTTAATGAGATTGTAAAGGAGTTGTTTATGCCGCCATCAGCAATATTCAATCTAATCTAAACCAGATATAAAGGTAGCTTCAATACTCTGATTTAGGCGAACGATTGGCAGGCCGTGATATAGCTAGCAGCGAGATAGTGAATTGAGTTTTAACGCAGCTTTGAACAGTATTCCATTTCAGTATTCCAGTTTAATGTGGGATCAGAGTGAAACGTACTTCTAACCCACAATCATAGGATTCTGGCATGCATAAGGGACGCAACTATGCATAGCGAATAAAGTCGTCTTAGACGACTGGGCTAGCCCTGCCTCCGATATAGCTAGGATCTGATTTTCCTGGGTCGTTTATCAACGCATGCATAAATGCTCATTGGTACACGTGAATTACCTGTTTCGGTACTGAGTTGACGAAGGTGTGTGAAATCCAGTGGAGCCGATGCGTCTGAAATGTGTAAACATGTAAAAACCAATCAGTAAATAATTGATGAACACATCAGTGGTAGAGCGTCCGCCCGGAGAGCGGAAGATCCGGGTTTCGATCCCCGACCGCGTCATACCAAAAGACGTTAAAAGATGGTACTTGTTGTTACCCTGTCTAGCGCTCTGCATTAAGGGGCTAAAACAAGGACTGGTCGGCTCGGAGTCAGTATACTGTGTCTGAGTGTGGTATCCATGTTAAACTGCGGCATGGTATCTCAGTGAGCTAGCGCTATAAATCGGCATCAGTCCGGACTAGTACAAGCAGCCACACAAACACACACACGTACATGCACGTCGCTATATAAGTGCAATAATCTTGGACGCGACGTTAAACCCCGTTTCACCTCACCACCACACGCACAATATAAAACACTCACATGAATAGATGACTATGGTCAAGATGCAGCTCAAACAGAGGACGGCCAGGCATGCCTTAAATTTTGCTGAAATTAATAAAAACAAAATATTTTATTCGCGGTTATGCGAATGGTATATCGCCTCTATCCTATTCGAAATTCTACCGAGGCCTCATTATCATATTTAGATTTTAACGTTCAATGTGGTTTGAAACTGAAATCAAAATGACGTTATTTTCACAAATGTGTCTATAAATAAACAGAATAAATTGATGAAATTGATTACATATCTTACTGAACCACATCCATTATCATAATATATCAGATCGAATGCAAAACCTGGTCGAAAACCCTAAAAATGTTAAGTTGCCATCAGTAGAAGGGAGGTAACTCGAGAAGTCTTATTCCTCAAGTATCGTCACCATGAAATGCGAGCTGCAGGCTCATTCGTCACCACTCGCCCCTTTCCGTAACCTGCAAGAAGACTCGTCCCCCTATCGATGAATGTTATGTGCGAAAATACGACAAACTAGTCAGAATGCGCGTATGATTTCAAGTTCTTCGTCAAAGAATCCCTCAGAAATATTTTTTTTGATTTTACTCATGTCTTGCATCTAAAAATATACCCAACACTCAGTTAAATGTGTTCAATCATACTGTATAAGTCCCGATGTGCTGTAACTTGCATCTGAAATATATATAATATATGTGGAAATATATGTGAACCATTACGCAAAGAGTTGACAATTGTTTGAGGTATGCCCGTTTGCGCTAAGACGGAATCCGCTCACAAAAATGGCCACGAGAGGGGCACGAGTCGCTATTCGGCTTGTCCCGGAATAACACGAGTTGGTTACGAATGCTGCAGGTTTTGCGGTTATAGTTAATGATTCATCATTGACGTTAAGGGCGTGTCATCTTCTCCACATGTTCATTCATTTGGAAAGGTGATGTTAATGGCGTTTCCTTGGCAACAACCCACATCCCGGGAAAGTTTGAAGATTTACATGTACATCTTTGCGTCATTCGTGACCAACTCGTGTTATTCCGGGACAAGCCGAATAGCGACTCGTGCCTCTCTCGTGGCCATTTTTGTGAGCGGATTCCGTCTTAGCGCAAACGGGCATACCTCAAACAATTGTCAACTCTTTGCGTAATGGTTCACATATATTTCCACATATATTATATATATTTCAGATGCAAGTTACAGCACATCGGGAATTATACAGTATGATTGAACACATTTAACTGTGTCTTGGGTATATTTTTAGATGCAAAACGTATGTAAAATCAAAAAATTATTTCTGGGGGATTCTTTGACGAAGAACTTGAAATCATACGCGCATTCTGATTGGTTTTTCGTATTTTCGCACATAACATTCATCAATAGGGGGACGAGTCTTCTTGCAGGTTACGGAAAGGGGCGAGTGGTGACGAATTCTGTGTGTCGGAAGGACTTATGGTATCTCCTCACTGATGCCGCCACACGTAAATCGCTTTAGTGTCGTGGGCTAAAAGCTTCAATTTGATTGGATGGTCAAAGCACTCACTAATATTCCAGCTGTATGACGACGGTCTGTAAATAACCGAGTCTTGACCAGACAATCCAGTGATTGACATGAGCATCGGTCTACGCAATTGGGATACGGTGACATGCATCAACGAAGTAAGCGAGCCGGGCCACCCGATCCCGTAAGTCGCCTCCTGATCTCAGTGAGATTGCAGTTTATAATCTGGTCAATGTGGTGACACGACCCAAATTGTTTGAGAGATTACAGACTCGGAGATTGAGGTCTATGTGAGATATTAGACTACATGTATTTATTTAGTGCGTAGGAGTTTTCAAACAGTTGGCTATAACTCACTGTCCACGCCAGTTGCTACCCGTTTTGAGCAGATTGCTTTTTCTCATTGTTGCGAGACAACTAATTGTGTTTCGAGGCGAGTTATTCAGTATTACAGTTACATCTTGGCCGGGGTGGTGCACATCTCTCTCTCTCTCTCTCTCTCTCTCTCTCTCTCTCTCTCTCTCTCTTCTCTCTCTCTCTCTCTCTCTCTCTCTCTCCCTCTCTCCCTCCCTCCCTCCCTCTCCCTCCCTCTCCCTCCCTCCCTCTCTCTCTCTCCCTCCCTCTCCCTCCCTCTCTCTCTCTCTCTCTCTCTCTCTCTGCCATATAGCTGGAATATTGCTGAGCGCCGTGTCAACAACAGACAAACAATAAAACGGAAGTGAACGTCCAATATGCAGCTTACCTCTCATCTTTCTGCCCAGCGAGATCACACAGTCGCCAGCCCTGCGAGGCACTGTTGACAATATGTGGCATGCCATGACTTCCCTTGTCCCAAGTGACACACAAAAACACCCAATGATTACTCCCTAGCCAACAGATGCATGCCGGGAAACACGTCGGGCGACTCTTCCTCTCTCGCTTGCAACCACGTCGCATCTCACATGATTAAAAATCCATTATTTGTGCCATTTCTAGTGGCACAGATACTAGACTGTCACACAGACCCTGAAACAAATATTTCCAATATATCCCATGCCGGTCAAAAAATAAAATAATTGTCAAGCCTACAGCAGTTTCTGAAGAAATGAAGAGACTCTGGACTCCTTTTTTATTATATTTTATTAAGATAATTCAACAAAAAAAATTTTTTCTGTAAAATATGTTCGTTTCAGAGACTTGATGTAAGTCTACCACCATACCACAATATTGTCTCCAAAATAACAGTTATGAAAGCTTTATAACATTTTAGGTATGTGATGACGTACATGAGCTGCATGTGCATAGCAAGTGGTATAAACATGACCTGGATTACAGAAGCAACACATTTCAATGAGGAAAATAAGATAATTCGGCTTCTGTAGGTGAGGTAACGTATCTCTGTTGACCGGCTGTATCCATGTTATAATACCAACTACATTTAACGAATTATTAAAATTGGGATGATTTGCGAAATTCGCAGGCTCTTTTTAAGAGCACTTCACACTTCATTTAAGCTGAGCACGTAAGAGTATTACCTTATCGCGTGGTTGTGAATTCGCCACCGGATTAGGGAGCATCCATTTGGTTCTCTGAGGTTGGTGGGACATTTTCTAAAAAAATAATCAAGCCGTTTTATTGAAAATAAAACCACACGTGTCTCGCATTGTAGGTAAAATAATGTCCTCAACTTGCAGACTATATTTATGTGTCCAACAAACACAGTTCGTTATTTTTATTTATGTAAACAAAACGAGCACCTGTTTATTTTGGGAACATAATTAAACTCCTAAATGCTGATCCTAAACCAAAATCCCAAAGAAAACTCCCCTCCCTACCCCCTAAGAAGAGTGAGTGAGTGAGTGAGTGAGTGAGTGAGTATGGTTTTACGCCGCTTTTAGCAATATATTCCAGCAATATTACGGCGGGGGACACCAGAAATGGACTTCACACATTGTACCCATGTCGGGAATCTAACCCGGGTCATCGGCGTGACGAGCCAACGTTTTAACCACTAGGCTACCCGACCGCCCCCTACTCCCTAAAAAGAGCAACATTTTTTTAATGGTTGCTCCTTTAAACTACAATCGTGGATCAGACTCTGACGACACAATGTAAGTGACCTGTGGTCCAGCTACCCCGCAGTTGATTTTGTCTCGTCTATCAACGGCCAAAGTCCTTTCTGGGGCCAGTGACTGAGTGATCATGAGTAGTCTGGTGATCAAACTGTTCACTCGCCACATTAAAAACCCGGTTCCGGAAATGAGTATAATATATGCAGCAACGTTTTGGTGAAATATGCTGAAATATTGTTAAATGATACAAAACCTCACGTCCAAGCAGCTCCCGATTAATTAATGTCAGGACACATTGGTATTAACGCGTTGTCAATGTACACATTGATTTCGTTGTGGTTGGACCACATGCCCAATTGCAGCCACTTGATCCGATGGATTTTGATGCATGTATTGCACGAGCGGCACGCGCGGCTAAAGCGGGTGTTTCCGACTTCAGTAGTCCAGCACCATGATCGTGGAATATATTTATTTTATGAAAAAATAAAATCTAGAAATGCATACAAAAGCAAGTATAGCCAGCTCAAGCTAGCTCTGTTCCACATCAGCATAGGGAATTTTTATTTTATTTTTAGAGTCAAGACGGATATTGTGTTATATAAGATTTCAGAGACTAAATGTTAGTCCGACTTCAGCGACGGGCGGGGCGTTCATGTTGTTGTTAGCTTTAGGGGGCAGTTCAAAAGTCCAACGTCGGATTTAATCTTAATTTAAGCAGCTCTCACACTTTTTGCCCATTCGTCCCCACTCGTCCCTTTCCGTAACCTGCAAGAAGACTCGTCCCCCTATTGATGAATGTTATGTGCGAAAATACAACAAACCAATCAGAATACGCGTATGATTTCAAGTTCTTCGTCAAAGAATCCCTCAGAAATAATTTTTGATTTTACATATGTCTTGCATCTAAATATATACCCAAGACACAGTTAAATGTGTCCAATCATACTGTATAATTCCGCATGTCCCGATGTGCTTTAAATTGCATCTGAAATATATATAATACATGGGAAAATAAATGTGACACATTACGCAACGAGTTGACAATTGTTTTAGGTATGCCCGTTTGCGCAAAGACGGAACCCGGTCGCAAAAATGGCCACGAGAGGGGCACGAGTCGCTATTCGGCTTGTCCCGGAATAACACGAGTTGGTCACGAATGACTTTTTGCCGAGGGGATTGCCGAGCTCTCCCGAGTCTAACTCGGTTCGGACTCGGAAAGAGACTACATATAAACGATTATTATACGAGTACGCTACGAGTGTGTTACGAGCCCCATAGGAGGTGAGGTGAGGTGAAATTTGGTTTAACGTCGCGTCCAAGATTATTGCACTTCTATAGCGACACGTGTGTGTGTGTGTGTGTGTGTGTGGGGGGGGGGGGGGGGGGGGGGCTGCTTGTACTAGTCCGGACTGATGCCGATTTATAGTGCTAGCTCACTGAGATACCATGCCGCAGTTTAACTTGAATATCCCACTCAGACACAGTATACTGACTCCGAGCCGACCAGTCCTTGTTTTAGCCCCTTAATGCCGAGCGCCAGACAGGGTAACAACAAGTACCATCTTTTAACGTATTTTGGTATGACGCGGTCGGGGATCGAATTGTACCGAGATAGGCGTTAACCACTCACAACTGTACCAACAGTGTTCATATACTTATCAATACTGAAACGATCATGTTTTTTAACACTGAAAACGTTAACATATTTTCAACTCAAAAGACACATTTTTCAACATTTAAACGAACATATTTCTTAACACTAATCACTTACGTGACTTTTTTCTCAAAACTAACCCTTACAAATATTCCACTTCTCACCAACGTGTAGACATATTTCTCAACACCGAAAACTAAATGCATTTTTTAAAACTAAATATTTTCTCTGACCTCTACAACTATCACAGCTCCGTGTACACATATGACAACACAAAAACCTTCAAACCATTATTTTCCCCAACAATACTCACCCATATGTAGCCTCATCCTAAAATTGTTCCAGTCATGGTAGAGTTAATCCTCGTGGTTATTATCCCCTCGACAATACCTCTGATATCCAATCACAAACGCCAAAGATTCCAGTCATATCACGGCGTGTCAGCTTAATGTGGGAGGAAAGCCCGAAGTGATGCAGGTCTTAGACGTTTACCACTTTGGTGAAACCCACGAGCACGGGTATGGTGCTGACAAACCTAGAAACATAATCGGGGCGAACCGGGATTCGAACCCACAATCACAGGTTTCTGGCGTGCCCAAGGGACGCAACTCTGCACAGCGAATTGCGGCGCCTTAGACGACTGGGCCACCCGTGCCACCTTTTAGCGCCTTGAACAATAGGCTAACCTCGCCACTTTACGAATCCGCAAAATCATAGATTTGACTTTGAATGCAGCCTTAGAACTCGCTGCCTCTACACAAAGATCTGAGGACATCTCATAACCGGTCACGTCATTGTATAAATGTAATAACCATACGGAGATCCAATTTTGTTAGTGGCATCACAAGTCGCACTCAACATCGCCGTCAGAAATGACGTTGCCAAACCAATTATCTTTCTTTTTCACATAATCATTTGCACCCTTTTTCCTTAACTCACTGTAGATATTTGCACCAAAATAAGGTTAAAGCGTCATCAAATTATTACTTTATAAGTCAGGTGAGCTACAAAGCGTTGTGGCTTTATGTTTGCAAAAGGTACTTATTTTGTGTACTATTTTAAGTAATGAGTACAATATCATAAACGGATTTGCAGCGTTCGTACACGCTTAACTTGTCCACAGTGATAACACGACGTCAACAAAACAATCGATAACTTTTCGTGGTCTACTGTGTAGCAATCGTCATTGTTGGAGTCTATGTGCATAGCTGGTACACGCCGTACACGACCAAATTTGAGGATTATTCTTGACAAATAAAACCCAATAGGGCTATTAAAAAACGTAAAATGTATGGATCTAGGATCTGTAGGTTTACAAATTAATAAATTATTTCAGAGCGGACTATTTCAAAGTCTAACAGTTGGTAGATGGTATCATATAGACAGTAGTATAATCATGGCTTTTGTTGATGCAGAATATGGAATGATATTGTAGAATGTTGAGGGATATGGGATAGTATTGCAGTATGTTGGACAATACGGAATTATATTGCAGTATATTGGAGAATATGGAATGATATTGTAGAATGTTGAGGGATATGGGATAGTATTGCAGTATGTTGGACAATACGGAATTATATTGCAGTATATTGGAGAATATGGAATGATATTGTAGAATGTTGAGGGATATGGGATAGTATTGCAGTATGTTGGACAATACGGAATTATATTGCAGTATATTGGAGAATATGGAATGATATTGTAGAATGTTGAGGGATATGGGATAGTATTGCAGTATGTTGGACAATACGGAATTATATTGCAGTATATTGGAGAATATGGAATGATATTGTAGAATGTTGAGGGATATGGGATAGTATTGCAGTATGTTGGACAATACGGAATTATATTGCAGTATATTGGAGAATATGGAATGATATTGTAGAATGTTGGATAATATGGAATAGTATTGTAGTATTTTAGTTTTCTATGGTTGATAACACAGAACGACTTGCCATCTATATCATGCGTTTTTCTTCATTTGTTACATTCTTTGTAGAGGGTCGAGGTTGCATTGGCGCCCACTCGCTTAAGTAGCTGCAAATCGCTATACAGAGATTCCATTGGAATCCCTGATTCGTACCGATTATAACAATACTTTTACTCGTGGACTTCAACAAAGTGGTAAACCCTTGTCATTTAGTGTTTTCATCCGACATTATGTTGACACTGTCAACGCGCATGTTGACGGGGAATTGACTCTTGGGGGCAAAATCGACATCACTGTCCCGGAACGTTTTATGCACAACATGTAAACAATAAACAACAAATACACAATGAGCGGAATACCAATGACGTTCCTCTGGACATTGGACATATGGGTGTGATGAACCGATACACGTGATTATAACTGAATTACTGTTCAAAGAGTACTTTACTAATTCATATTTTTTTCATATCGCTGCATGTAACTTTTACTATAAAACGTCAACGCCAGAGAATAACCAGTCTCGATTATCGCCGAAATAGATTCCATTGGGCGTAAAAGGCAAATGGGGTGAAAATCATATTTATGGATGACTGATAAGCAGTGTTCATACCAGGTTTTTGGCAAAAAGACAAGTTATATACAGTTCTATGTAGTAATGGTGATCTTGGGTCAAGCAGATCAAGAAATATTAGTGTTATCGGTACACAGTTTGTGTATACGGCACACACCAATGCTATCAAGCACATGACATATTTATAACAGAAAGTCAATAGAAATGAGGGGCGGTCGGGTAGCCTAGTGGTTAAAGCGTTCGCTCGTCACGCCGAAGACCCGGGTTCTAATCCCGACATGGGTACAATGTGTGAAGCCCATTTCTGGTGTCCCCCGCCGTGATATTGTTGGAATATTGCTAAAAGCGGCGTAAAGCCAAACCCACTCACTCACTCAATAGAAATGAGTTTATTTAGTAATATGATATACATGAATCAAGTTTTTATAAAATGATACAGTTACTATTTTAGAGAAAACTTTATCCAAACGGTTAAGGCCTACAGTTTCAAGGTTATGTCCGAATGGAAACTTAGAGGTTAACCTTGAAATGGTTTCGCTCAGGTCTAACTTTTGTAATCAGTCTATGACCATAGCAAGTAAACTTTGATGACCCAATATGTAGATTGGGTAATCAAAGTTTACTTACGACGATGTGATACAGGGGCGACTGAGCTCAGTTCAAACACCCTGGTGCCATCTGGAAGTAATTAGTGGCTGACCCCTCACTGACAACACTTGACCTGTGCGCTGGGCAGCACACATTATCTTCGGCTATCCTTGGCACTTTCCGACTCTCTTCCGATTGCATTACAAAATGGCCGCACCGGATGTAAACAAGCCATGGCTCCGTCGTCTGCTTCATGTATACCTTAACACTGTTTGGCCGACTATACATTAATATCATCCTATCCTATATGTTTGTAAAGTAATAGTAACACATACTAGGATATATATATATATATATATATATATATATATATATATATATATATATATATATATATATATATATGCCTGATATAAAAATTATCAGGCAATTCGATATTAGTGTAAATTCTAAACTTTGGCTATTTACTGCAAATGGTTATTTCGTTCTCTTGGCGTCTGGCGTTACGCAATCTCAACCAAGCGTTTTACCAAGCGCAGCCAAACGCTTCTGATAGAGAGAAAATAGCTCTACTGTGACGTGCAATGTAATGTGACACTATGAAGTGGTAGGTTGGTACATATATTCTATCAATCTAAACTCATTCCCTGATACACATGTGGTGTTTTAGTGTGTTTTGCTTGGCTGGGTCAATCCTGTTAAAAAACGTATTTCTGATTATAGGGTGTTGAGTGTTTTCAACATATAAAAAGCTGGTTTGCCGTAATCCCGCACACAACATCGATCGATTGCTAGGTTGACGAGATGTATTGCAGTTCCCCCCTGAATGATGGTGCGAGTGGCGAGGAATGCGGCAACGCATCCACTGTCCACTGCCTCGATAAACGTCACGTTGTGGACGGGACGTGATAAGAATGCAATGGAGAAAAACATAGTGTACGTGGCCTTACTGCAAACTAGGGTTTACTGAGCAAACAATTTGTGTGTGTGTGTGTGGGGGGGGGGGGGGGGGGGGGGCAGACAGACAGTCAGTGTTAAGAATGACTCGTGTGATTGAAGACAAACAAATAAGCCCTGGGTATCAGCTGTAAAGGTGTTTCAGCATGTGTATGGTGTGCGCGTGTGTGTGTTTATTGTGTGCGTGTGTGTAGTGTGTATGGTGTGTGTGCGAGCGTGCGTACGTGTGTGCGTGTATTGTGATATGCGCTTGATATAAACACTTCAGAATCAATAATACATAAATGATGATTTTCAATCACTGTTTTGTGTTCTACGCGTTATTAACTCAATTTTCATGCATTACATACGAAAGGTACAATGACAGGTTTGCTGAGCAATGAAACACTTGTTAACCTGCCACCTGTCACCTGTCACATGTGTGCTGTTTGTCCTTCTGGCCGCCATTTTATGTTTCCATCTGAGGTTTCATTTTATGAGTTGTATTTCGGATATTTCCCTCAGTAATCCTTCAATATCAATAGCTAACTCCGGTCGAATCAAGTCTACACTCCTTGCTTGAAATGTGGTAACCGCGGTTGAGGCAGGTCACTCATATCTTAACAATCGAAAACACGTGATGAAAACACAGCCGAGTTACACAGTCTACGCGCGGCTTTAAAGATGGAGAGATTTTACAAACGCTTTAAATACACATGATAAATAGAGCGCTCATTTCAATCACATGCTCCTGATGCAAACCAATAACATCGGTATGTATACCTGCTGTGCTGATCCAAGCCCGAGCTGCAGGAATAGAACAAAGAAAGGCGGCCGCCATCTTAATTTGTTCGTCAAAATCGTGTTCTTACCATTTTAAGAATACTTGAAACACCAAGCTATCATTCGACTCTGAACCACTCGCGGAAGCCTCCGACATTGATCTGCGTTATTCCTGTCTTCTTTATACGTCAGCAGACATCTCAAAGCGATCGGATGCGGAAGGATCGCAATTCCCTTCTGCTCGCGGATTGGCTGACATTGTGAACAACACGAGCTAGTGCGCGGATGAGAGGGAAATTCAAGATCGGGAATTCAAAATCGGGAATTGAAGATCGGGAAATTCAGATGCATGATCAACGCTTTTAACGATTCACTTTTGTTTGCATGTCGGAGAAAACATTTATTTCCCGATAACCATGGTCTCTTTTTGGAGAGGTTCTCACAAGTTATTTTGTAAGCATAAAATATATGGACATAGGTTCTAACGCCGTTACAGGGTGTGTTTGTTTGTTGAAGTACAGAGTATGGATGAGAAGCATATATGCAAGTATGAGATAGAGTTTATACTCCACTGTAACAACACCCCAATGTATTCAACTGTATAAACTAATATGTATATACTTCTCATCCATACTGGGGGCATGCCAGAAACCTATTTTTGTGGGTTCCAATCCCGATTCGCCCCGATTATGTTTCTAGGTTTGTCAGCACCATACCCGTACTCGTGGGTTTCACCGAAGTGGTAAACGTCTAAGACCTGCATCACTTCGGGCTTTCCTCCTTCATTAAGCTGACACGCCGCGATATAACTGGAATACTGTTGAAAGCGGCGTTAAACCCAACTCACTACCCACTATCCTTACTTACTCGGCACAGTATACTGACTCCGAGCCGACCAGTCCTTGCTTTAGCCCCTTAATGCCGAGCGCCAGACAGGGTAACAACAAGTACCATCTTTTAACGTCTTTTGGTATGACGCGGCCAGGGATCGAACCACGGACCTTCCGCTCTCCGGGCGGACGTTCTACCACTAGACCACGGAGGCGGTCTTCAATTTAGATGACACTGAGCCACAAACACGCCCAATGTGTGTTTTTTCCATCCTTTCTGTCTGACATAACTGCATGTGCTTCAGTTGAGTATTTACATGCTATGTATGATAGATTACCATAGCGAAATTTTGCAGTATGGGGCTGTTTCAGAAATTAATGAGTAACAAACAAAGATATAGCAATTTTGTCAGCCCGTTCTTAATGTTTCTTATTCAGAAACGGACTGACGTCAGTGGAAAATGATAAAGAGTCCTTGAATTTCAAGTTCTGTGCATACGTAATGTTGTCAGACATTTTGAACAAATAATTTAAGGTTATATACAATGTGGAAAAACTATATACACTTTATAAAAAAAAACCGAGTTGTTTTGAGTCCATTTTCACTTTGAAATGAAGGCTGCATCACAAGCTCGAGTGAGCACCGCAAACTGTACGACGGGGGTCTTCACAAGCAGCACACGATCATCACGGACCACCCCATTCGTGACCAACTCGTGTTATTCCGGGACAAGCCGAATAGCGACTCGTGCCCCTCTCGTGGCAATATTTGCAACCGGGTTCCGTCTTAGCGCAAACGGGCATACCTAAAACAATTGTCAACTCGATGCCTAATGGTTAACGGATATTTCCCCATATATTTTATATCTTTCAGATGCAATTTAAAGCACATCGGGACATGCGGAATTATACAGTATGATTGAACTGATTTAACTGTGTCTTGGGTATATTTTAGATGCAAGACGTATGTAAAATCAAAATCATGCGCGCATTCTGATTGGTTTGTCGTATTTTCGCACATAACATTCATCGATAGGGGGACGAGTCTTCTTGCAGGTTACGGAAAGGGGCAACTGGTGCCATTGCACAAGATAGAGTACACTCTGAAAACAAAATATAGACTATTGAACACGTCAATGACTTACATATGTTTTTAGATGAAATCAGTTCGGGACAACTTCTAAAATGTATTTGGTGGTATTGCAAACCTTATGATCCTATCGGGGGGCACGGGTACTGTACAAGTTATTATAATCAGACAGACGGCTAATAAGACAGATAAATATGATGTATTTATGTGCAATTAATGTGTTATGTAAATCAATCATCAGTGCATCCAAGTAGTTTCCTACTCCTTGACATGCCCTCTTTACCGAGTATTTGGTTACTTATAAAGGGGGGCACGTGCACGGGTGGCCCAGTCGTCTAAGGCGCCGCGATTCGCTGTGCACAGTTGCGTCCCTTGGGCACGTCAGAAACCTATGATTGTGGGTTCGTATCCTGGTTCACCCCGATTATGTTTCTAGGTTTGTCAGCACCATACCCGTGCTCGTGGGTTTCACCGAAGTGGTAAACGTCTGAGACCTGCATCACTTCGGGCTTTCCTCCCACATTAAACTGATACGCCGAGATATAACTGGAATACTGTTAAAAGCGGCGTTAAACCCAACTCACTCACTCACTCACTCACTATGATCCTATTGAGAAGATAAAGCCTTATAAGTAACTGCTGTGTCCATAAAAAACGTTACATCAGTAACATATTTCACAACTAGTATCCGTCATAGAAAATGTATTGTTGTTCTCGGGATACTTCTTCATTATAAACTTATTCATTGGGATCGCTATTAAGTCAGAGACTTCTTTCTATAGGCATTAAAACATATTGTGAGGTTTTACTTTCCAGTCGGGTTAAATCTTATAAACAGGGGCGTTTTAATGTCCCGGGGTATTTTATTAATATAACTTCCGTTCAGATTGTTACATGTAATGAAATGTAAAATCAAATGACAAATGTTTTCTTTATATTCCCGAAGATCGAACTCGCAACCTTTATATCTGTAGCCCAGTAGGTGTACCACAAGGCTAAAGAGGTGTTGTTAAGCCTCACTGGTTTTTAGAATGTCCTTTTCCAGATCCATACGCCAGCAACAGATATTTTACGCGCGTTTCCTAAGGTTCATGGAAAGTATGTCCGAAACATAAATTTTTTCGGTTTATAAGCATGGAAAAACACTTTCCCTCGGTTTTGGTAGACAGAGCATGCCCTGGGGGTCGGGAAAAACCGCGGGGGCTTCGCCCCTTTGGTTTTTCCCTCTCCACAGGGCATGCTCTGTCTACCAAAACCGAGGTGACCGTTTTTTCTCCAATACATATACAACACAACTCTGTCTGCAGGTCCACAACGTTTTATTGTGCATGGGAGCTTCACTAGCTGTTTCGTGTTCAGCTCCCAGATCTCAACTGCCAGCTCGCGCCGGTCCTGATGGATATATCTCTTTCTAACATTCATTACTATTCTTTATAAGGCAATACAGCTATGCCATGTAGTATCTCGTCCATAACCCTCATGCCTCACGTGCAGTGGTCGCCCTGGTGATCTTACTCTTGGCCTTATAAGACAACAGCATGAAGTTGCAGTCCCACAACTCCAAGAATATGTATGGCCTGCCTCCCGCATCCCTGGCCGGTCACTCCCCCGCGAGGGGTTTGCTTGAGGGAGAGGGGGAGGAAATGTGCGCTACTGCCCAGCGCACACTGCTCGCGGTCCATTGTATATTACCGTATGTGGTATACTGTATATTTCTCTTGAAATACTGTATACTGCATGTGATATACGCTCTACTGCCCAGCGCACACTGCTCGCGGTCCATTGTATATTACCGTATGTGGTATACTGTATATTTCTCTTGAAATACTGTATACTGCATGTGATATATGCGCTACTGCCCAGCGCACACAGCTCGCGGTCCATTGTATATTACCGTATGTGGTATACTGTATATTTCTCTTAAAATACTGTATACTGCATGTGATATATGCTCTACTGCCCAGCGCACACTGCAAGCGGTCCATTGTATATTACCGTATGTGGTATACTGTATGTGATATACGCTCTACTGCCCAGCGCACACTGCTCGCGATCCATTGTATATTAGCGTATGTGGTATACTGTATATTTCTCTTGAAATAATGTATACTGCATGTGATATATGCCCTACTGCCCAGCGCACACTGCTCGCGGTCCATTGTATATTACCGTATGTGGTATACTGTATATTTCTCTTGAAATACTGTATACTGCATGTGATATATGCTCTACTGCCCAGCGCACACTGCTCGCGGTCCATTGTATATTACCGTATGTGGTAGACTGTATATTTCACTTGAAATACTGTATACTGCATGTGATATATGCTCTACTGCCCAGCACACACTGCTCGCGGTCCATTGTATATTACCGTATGTGGTATACTGTATGTGATATACGCTCTACTGCCCAGCGCACACAGCTCGCGGTCAATTGTATATTACCGTATGTGGTATACTGCATGTGATATATGCTCTACTGCCCAGCGCACACAGCTCGCGATCCATTGTATATTACCGTATGTGGTATACTGTATATTTCACTTGAAATACTGTATACTGCATGTGATATATGCTCTACTGCCCAGCACACACTGCTCGCGGTCCATTGTATATTACCGTATGTGGTATACTGTATATTTCACTTGAAAAACTGTATACTGCATGTGATATATGCTCTACTGCCCAGCGCACACTGCTCGCGGTCCATTGTATATTACCGTATGTGGTATACTGTATATTTCACTTGAAATACTGTATACTGCATGTGATATATGCGCTACTTCCCAGCGCACACAGCTCGCGGTCCATTGTATATTACCGTATGTGGTATACTGTATATTTCTCTTAAAATACTGTATACTGCATGTGATATATGCTCTACTGCCCAGCGCACACTGCTCGCGGTCCATTGTATATTACCGTATGTGGTATACTATATGTGATATACGCTCTACTGCCCAGCGCACACTGCTCGCGATCCATTGTATATTACCGTATGTGGTATACTGTATATTTCTCTTGAAATAATGTATACTGCATGTGATATATGCCCTACTGCCCAGCGCACACTGCTCGCGGTCCATTGTATATTACCGTATGTGGTATACTGTATATTTCACTTGAAAAACTGTATACTGCATGTGATATATGCTCTACTGCCCAGCGCACACAGCTCGCGGTCCATTGTATATTACCGTATGTGGTATACTGTATATTTCACTTAAAATACTGTATACTGCATGTGATATATGCTCTACTGCCCAGCGCACACTGCTCGCGGTCCATTGTATATTACCGTATGTGGTATACTATATGTGATATACGCTCTACTGCCC